ATCTATTAGAAGAACATGTTAAAAATATTCACTTTTTTATTCTTTTAATTCTTTTAAAATAGTAAATAGAAAAAGAACTCCTACCCTTACGAGTTACTTGTATAATGATTCTATTTTGAAACTAAGAGGCGAATTTTAAAATAAAAATTACTTAACTTTTATAAATATTTTAAATTTAATTATAGAGAAAAGGATCGTTAATTTTTTTTATTATAATAAAAGAAACAGTTAAAAATTTTTTAATTAAAATAAATTGCTTATGTACAGTAAATATAAATAATAGATTCTTCATATTACTTTAACGTAATTTATAAATGCATAATTAGTATAAAATTCAGATTTATCTAAAATTCAATTTCAGATATCTCAATTTAAGACGGTCTCGTGTCTGAAATTCAGATTCTATCTGAAGTTCAATTTCAAATATCTCAATTTAAGACGGCCTCGTATCTGAAATTCAGATTCTATCTGAAGTTCAATTTCAGATATCTCAATTTCAGACGGCCTCGTATCTGAAATTCAGATTCTATCTGAAGTTCAATTTCAGATATCTCGATTTCAGACGGCCTTGTGTCTGAAATTCAAATTTTATTTGAAGTTCAATTTCAGATATCCTAATTTCAGACGCCTCGTATCTGAAATTCAGATTCTATCTGAAGTTTAATTTCAGATAACCCAATTTCAGACAGCCCTCGTGTCTGAAATTAAAATTTAACTGAAATTAGAGTTACACAAAAATTTGCCAATTGGAATTCCAATTTCAGTTAACTGATCTTTGAATCTCAATTTCAGATACTCGAAGATCCAACAATCAAGTCAATAATAATTCACCTATAAACTCGATAGTTAACGAACAGACAACAAACTTTTCAATAACTTTGTTGAACCGGTAAGTTTTTCAACAAGTCATATATACAAATCTATCAAACATTACCAGATGAGCCAAATGATTTGCCAAGACAAATTTTTAGTTGTTTGATTTCAAATTTTTGTTCCATTAGTCCCGATAATAAAACTGTAACCGTTAAACACATTTAATGAATTATATAACAATAAAAGTGATTTAGTCAAGATTCAAATTTCTCTTGAGGCTTGCTTTGCTTGGAATTGATAAAAATTTATGGACTTTAACGACAAGTAATGATTACTGTGTTACAATCTAAGAAATGTAGCTATACTTACTCAAGTAAGTTTAATTCTACATGCGCTTTCCTAATCATAATTCATGAAGTTTCTATAAACAAAAACTTTCATGAATGGTTTTTAAAATATGGCAAAACCATATCGTTGATCACAATCCTATCATCGGCATATCTTGATATGATGAACTTTTTGACCTCAAACTTTGCTGGATTAAAAGTTTTATCCATTTGAATTTAGTGAAAGTCCAGATGGTGGTTATTTTGGGGCGGATTTATAAATTTATTCATTGAGCTAATGGAATAAATGGAATATATTTTTTTTTTTTTTTTTTTTTTTACAAACTAAAAGGATTATCATGATTAGAATGGTTTAAATATCTCAAATTTATTCCGTTACTTTACAAAGAAAGATAGAAAAAGTCTTCTTCGACATCATCATTTTCTGGAAAGATTTACCAGTGAAAATGATTCATTATTATTATTGAACACAAAAATCGCGAAATTTTTAATTTATTTTAATTGACTGCGCCTTAAGTGACATTATTTTATATTTAACATATTTAGTTTAAAAATATTTTAATTAATACCGGGGTATATCAGTATCCTCTTGCCCTTGTAGATTGTTCCAAAAACGCTTGGTGAGAATGAAATGTGAAGTCTGTGACATTGTGGAATCGGTGTAATTTTAAGTTTTTTAATTTCTTTTATTACTTAACTATGAAGTAGGGATCTTGAAATGACAAGACAAGTCTTGGGATAATTCTACCAAGTCATAAAGATTCTTTATATCTGCACATATTGTATTATATGGTACAAAAGTGAAATCGTAAATAAATTGTTAAATCTTTCTTAGTTGTTTGACAACGTGCAATACATGTGCATGATATTCATTGTTCATTTCACGTTCATTATTACCTCATTCAGATATTTGGAACGCGCACGTACTTTCTAATAAATAAGTTCAAAATTGATCATCCAAAGAGTATTTAAGAAAAAGAAAAGAAAATGAGTAGTCTCCGAACCGCCAGCGTTTATAGTTTATTGGAAAATTTAAATTGGAAACTCTTTATAGATAAAGGTGTTCACGTAACTCGTCTGAAAAGTTTAAAATTTGTAAGTTCACAAATTTTTCGTCAGCCAGTTTTTGAAAGTTGTGTTGGTAACTTGCTTTATTTAAAAATTCTCGATATATTTTTCTAGCTTTCAAGTGAACCGCACCTATCAGATCAGGATCACGCATATCAGGTAACCAGATGATTGTGTCGTCAAGCATGTTGATTCATTTGTCTCACCCTCCTAATCGTAATTAAACTAGGCGAAGTTAGATGCGTTACGTACAATCAATCTTAGCAATGAACAACAAATCGTTAAAGATTTAGTTCTCAATAACGAGGATAATGTATTTTATACAGGTGCCGCAGGTAACCGTTAAATTCAAAACAAAAAGAAAAAGATTTCAAAGAAATGTGAGATTATACACTTGTATTGTTTATGACTTTATTAATAGGAACCGGTAAAAGCGTACTTTTAAGATCGATAATCAGCGGAATTAGAAGAAAGTATGGGAAATCTTCAGTTGCAGTTACAGCAATGACTGGTATCGCGGCAATAAACATTGGTGGACAAACGTTACATTCATTTGCTGGACTTACCCCTCAATCGAATCTCCTGAACATTGAAAGCCTTATTAAACAAATCAATAGGAGTCGTAGGATAGTAGGAAGATGGAAGAAAATCAAAGCGTTGGTAATTGATGAAAGTATGATTTTTTTTTTTAAAAATAAAAATGTTGTTTGTAGAATCACGTGCTTATATTTATTTTTGATGAAATTTTAGTTTCTATGCTTGATGCTGAATTGTTTGATAAATTGGATCATGTGGTTAAAAATATTCGTTGTGACAGTAGACCCTTTGGTGGATTGCAGGTTAAAAAAAATTTTTTTTTCAAAAAAAAAAAAAAAAAGGAACATTTTTAATAACCACACACATAATATATGAATAGTTGATTATAACAGGAGATTTTTGTCAGCTTCCTCCTGTCAAAGTAAATAATTATTGTTTTGATGCGGAATCTTGGAATTCGTTAAATCATTCGATTCAACTAACCACCGTACATCGACAATCCGAACAAGGTGTCTTAAAGCTTGTTTATTCTTACAAGTTTTTATCACTTGGAAAATTTATCTAATTTTATCAATTGAATAGAATTTATAAAGATGTTAAATGAGATCAGATTTGGAAACATGTCTGAAAAATCCATCGATATATTAAATAAATTAAATCAAGCACCTGAATACCAAAATGATGGAATTGAAGTAACCGAACTGTACATTTTGATTTTTTATCTTTATTTTTGTTCAAAGAAATTTCGAATTTTTAATTTTAATTTTTTTTTTTCGTTTAATATTTCTTAGGTATCCCGTTAACAGAATGGTTAATGAAGTAAATTATATGAAATTAGCATTCAATACAAATCAACAGTTTATTTATAATGCAGAAGATTGGGAACCTAAATTTAACGGTCAATTGATATCGCTCAGAAATGGCTGCCAGGCTCCGTCAAGATTAAGACTTAAAATTAACGCTCAAGTCATGTTAATTAAGAATTTTACAAAACAATTGGTTAATGGTAGTAAAGGCGTTGTGGTTGGATGGTTTTCCATACCATCCATGAAATTTTATGATGAGCATGACGAAGTTCCAAGTCATGATGTAACTTTTGTATTACCTGTTGTAAAATTTACCAATGGACAAACCAAGGTAGTTCCTTGGACCGAATGGACCTTAAAGGATGAAACCGAACGGGTCGTGGCTCGACGTATACAGGTTAATATCAATAGCGTTTAATAGAGGAGACGACATTTTATTAGATTATTGTTTATTTAATTTAATATTTTTTTTTTTTTTTTAAAAAAAAAAAAAATAGATCCCACTCATTCTTTCTTGGGCAATTAGCATCCATAAAAGTCAAGGACAAACCTTGGAACGCGTTAAAGTTGACCTAGATAAGGTGTTTGAAAGAGGTAAAATTTGATTTTTATTCAAAGGTTTCTATCATTTTTCAGGATTTAATTTAATAATAAATTAATCGGCAGGACAAACTTATGTCGCGTTATCCCGAGCGACCTCTCTTAATTCGCTGCAAGTACTCAATTTTTCACCAGATAAAGTAATGACCGAAGAAAGAGTAAAGATATTTTACGATTTATTAACGAACTTTTCTGCCAATGGCATATCATAGAATCATTACGTGTACTTTTCTTTTTTGTATTCCACATGTACTTGGCTTTTAATCATTCCAAATTCTTGAATAATTGATCTGCAAGACGAAAAACCTTAAATTTCTCATAGTAATTATTAATGATCGACAATTTCATCGTGAACATTTTCAATTTTAATTTTAGTTAGATTATTCAGTCTTATGATTAGATTAAAAAAGCACTTTTGACGTTCTACATAGAACTCCAACGCTGTAAATCCATATGTATATTTATAATTCTTGGTAATTTTTTGTTTCAATTTAAGCAATTAATTTATTCGAAAATATATCTAATCCGATTGGGGACCGTAGATTTGAACGATATTTAGCGTTATAGTTTTTACCAAACTTGGTTATGACCGCAATTGACATAATGATTGTGTCATTACGACACCATTACGATGATATGATAAAATCAATTTTTTTTAAAGAAAATAAAATAATTATAAATCCATTTCGTATTTTTTTTTTTCTAATTTTTTTTTTTTTGAAAAAAAAAAAAAAAAAATATAAAAAAAAAATAAATAAAAAATAAATTTTAAACTCCCAACGAAACATAAAATTTTTTTTAATATAAAAAAACTTACATAAAAGAAAAGATGGACGATCAAAGTGGCAGGAAAAGGATTGACCCAAGAACCGAAAATATCCCTATTGGTAATGAATGAATAAATTGCCAACGAATGTAAATGGGATCATATGACAACTAACATGAACATTCCTTTTTTTAGGTCGAGATCCCAATTCCGCCGTGGTATATCATGCTCTACCTAGACATGATAACCCTGAAATCACAGAAAATCTTGAAACTGATGAGGTAAGATGGCAGGATCGTGAACACATCGTACATCCACCGGGAGTAAATGATCACAAAGGTAAATTCTTTAATCATCTTGTCATTTGCTTTAACCATAATTTCATATGTTAAGAGATTTTTAAAATTTAATTTAACCATTTTTTATCTTTTGAACAATCAGGTATTGTCGGTCATGTTGAAAAGGATTGGGAAAAAGAGATGAAAGAGAAGAAAAGCACGGGGCAAGACAAAAATGAAGGAAATTAAAAAGGAAAAAAGAAATCCTTTTTAAATACCTTTTTTGAATGTTTAGATCTTTCTTTGATAATCAAAGCCTCCCCCGCAATAAAATAAAATAGATGAGAATATCAAAGATTTACCTTTTTTTATATTTTTGGATTCAGATTAAATAAAAGAGGTCAAAATATTTTTTTTTCTCACGAATCAAATTACCATGATTCCTAGTTATAGGAATGCTGCCCCGTTTGGTTATTATAAAGGTGAAAATCTCACTTAAACGTTGAGCCAAGTAATAAAAAAAATTTTCAATTATTCGAAAATCTATTAACGATGATCAAAAAACGTCGTTGTTGTTTCGTAATTTCGTTGTTTCAAAAAAAATAGATATAAATTAGTAAAGATCGGTTAAAGTGAATGAAAATAAAATAATATATATATATATATATATATAAGTAAGGGAGTTTTTGACCAGAAATAATTCCTCATTGTCTTAATATATAATTTTTTTGTTTTCCCTTTTTTTCTTTTTTTTTTTTTCTATTCATAACCAAAGCGAGACGATGTTGGCCATTAATTTCAAAAATCAAAATAACCATAAAACATATAGTAACAATAAACATAATAAGAAGAATAAAAATAAAAATAAAAATAAAAATGATAAATACGACTCGGATAAATGTAATTATAATAATAAGGTTGCATCGAGTTTTACATATCAAACGTATAAAATAAAAATAGGTGAGAGTACCTTTTGCCTCACCTCGGAATCTTTAAATCGGGATGCACCCAATTTTTTCACGGCGGCATTTTTCGGTCATTTTTCGGAGGCAACGACCACTAGTATCTTTATCGAACGGGATCCAACGAATTTCGCAATGATCGTAAAATATTTAAGAAGGTATGAAATGGATTGGCCGGTAAAAGACAAGGTCTCGATGAAAAATTTATTGGAGGACGTAAAGTATTACGGTTTTGAAAGGTTACAAAATTTGTTGGAAGAAATCTATGAAAAGCATTTCCCTGTAAAGGTGATACCTTGGAAGATTTTAACCTATGCACTCGAGAAAGAACCTATTCTCGCTATAAACATTAAAGATGTGGAATTAAAAAGATGGGATTCTCGATCTTTAATTTATAATGCCAATCCCGTTTTGAAAATGAAGAAGAAAACATCAAACAAAGAAAATGAAGTTGTTGCTAACACTAATGATGATGATGCCACGGTTGACAATAATGAAGAGGACAATGTTGTTAATGAAACGATAAAGCCAAACCCAGAAAAAGGTCTGTACCGATTAGAGGTACACGGAAGAGACGCATTAGCAACCGTAACTTCAAACCTGAGCAATGGAATAAAATTCGAGAATTTCGTCATGAAAGATGCTGCGGAAGATGCAACCTTTCGCGTGCTTACGGAATCTTTCCGAACGCCTGATGGCACCCTCACTTTGTCACCTTCTTTGAAACTATCCTTCCTAAAGGATAGTTGTATTGAAATCGATGGTATAAGGTATCACAACCATAACGATTTATCATCATATTTGGGTGTAAATGCTAGGGGAAAACCATTTTACTTTGAAGAAATTGTGATTCGTATTGAAAGTGGCGTATTCTTAATGAGAGCACGTGCTTGGACCATTCCATCTTATTACGCTTCACAACCCTTTGTTTGTTCTGTTCAATCTCGGAACAATTCCTTACTTAAGCCAGTTATTTAATTTTTTAATTTTATTTTTATTTTTTCTTTTGTGGGAAAACTGTACAAATATTATTTTTTATTATTAATAATTAATTAATTTCACATGTGATGTACTTCGGGAAAGTAATCATTCATCTTATAAACCTTTTTTATTTTTTATTCTTTTATTTGCTCATATATATTTCTTATTTTGTTGTTAAATGGTTATTAATAATTCTAATTTTCTTGTTATTAAACTCGAATCAAATTAAGAGAAATCTGATTCTCAAATTCAAGGGGGTTTATCAATATGTTGGGATATGGCGTTATTCTACCTTACAATCGTTCTGAATTATTTTTGTCAAGTCAAATTGTTTTGTAATACTGCATCTTTCCGTCTTTTTATTTTTGATCAATAATAAATGATCTTGGCAATTTGGCAAACTTTTACCTTGGCGATTCAATTAAAGAAAATTAAATTTATTATTTAAAATGTTTATTATATTGTATTACATCTATAATTGGAATTTTTTATCGTTTATCTTTATTTCATTGTCAACTGGTAAAAAAAATTATTCTCATGCTTAACCGAAATCAAAGTCGATCGGTTAGTTTTTGCCAAATCACATGCTGTCATTACTAAAGCTTTACCCGAATTGATTAGATACGTCATGTTTACATCAGGTTCAATCATTTAATATCACTTCCATTTTGGAATGTTAGGTATGTAAGAAACACGTAAAATCGATGATAAAATATAACGGGGGCGTTAATGTCTTTGAAAGAAAATTCCATTAAAAAAAAACAGAGAGAAAAAAAAAAAAAAACGCCATAAGATTATATCATTCTCATACTATCATCATAATGATGTTATATTTATATTTTCAATTGTATTTTTTTCCACGAAACATTATAAAAGGAGACGGAAATTTTTCATCCATCTTTCACCCAAATAAATTGACAAAATATTTACACAATATAATAAATATATAAATATAATAATACCTTTATAAATAAAAACGTTAGCAAAAAATGAAATCCTTTGCCTTATTCTTTATCGTTTTATTCATAATCTCTTGTTTGCCTGTGACCATTCATTCTCAAGTAGAACCAAAATCAACCGAAGTAGTTGCAACAACTTCGTCTACTCAAACTGCTCTTATTCCAGATGAAGCTACCGAAGTCGTTGCACGTAAGTACATTTTTCTTTGAAAGAAAAAAAAAATAGTTATTCATATCAAAATAACATTTGCATCCTCTTTTTTTTATAATCAAAGCGCCTACTTCTGTTACCGCGACATCTGTAACAAGTACTTTCAGTTCGACCACGACCGGCACAACCACAACAACGGGAACGCACACTGGCACTGGCACGTCGTCAACGTCAGCAAGTGCCGCGGCCGTACCCATGAGACATGATATGACTAATATTGCGGCTGCTGGTGTTGTCGCCGCTGCCATCGCTCTTTTCTAAATTTCTAAATTTATAAATTTTTAGAATCTGGAATTTCATTTTTGCGAAAGAGGATATAATTTTTAGATCGAGAGTATTTTTTTTTTTTTTTGTATTAATCTATAATTTATTACTATAATACTATCTAATTGTATTAAAGTTACATCATAATAAAAGAAACGAAAGAATTATCAAAACGTTACTTTTTGAAACTAAAAATAATTTAATAGAAAATTGATGGTGTCATATGCAAAAATTGGTGATTTTTTGTCAAGTCTAATTCTCACCATACACTTAGAATGGGAATTGTTTGTTTTTGAACTAATCATTTCCGGATCTGCTTTATTTATTGTGTTGGGAGTTGTTTAAATCATTGAAAAAAATAAAACGCCTTTAGACCCGCACTAAAACAAGTTTGATTCTCTTAAATTATAACTGCGCATTAAAAAGGAAACGAGCATTTACTTCTTTGATCAAAATTGAGGGAAAAGACTTATTGTTGAATAAAATAATCGTTTTTTCCCATCAAAATTTTCCTGATCTATTTTAGAAGGTATGACCTTCACAATTTATCATAGTCCTAAATGTTTATTGTTTGTGTGAAACACAACATTTATTATTAATTTTTTTTTCAAATTCAACAAATACGTGCCCTTTAACCAGTAAAACCCTACACTCGTATAAAATCACGATAAGTCTGGCAAAAATTAATCACACCCCTTTATTTATTTATTGTGAATTAGATTGCTGTTTAAGGCTATTTAATAGAATAGAATGCCTTATTGTTATTATCCCTTTTCAAATCTTAACCATAAATTTTTTTTTTTAAAAAAAAAAAAAAATGCAATTAGAGATCTTTGCTTTATTCAATTGCCACAAATCAATACTGTATTTTTTCCATTAATACAATTTTAATTTTCATAATCCTTATAATTCATTTCTATTAAGGCGGGCAAAACCTAACGCTAATCCCAATTTGGCAAAAATCGACCTTTTCGATTTCGAAACGGTCACCAAGGCATGTTAAATATGTCCTTGATAAGAATCAAATAATCATTTGCATTACGAAAAGATTTTATAAAGAAATTAAATTGCAACAAATAAGAATTTGTATGACATTGATTGTTCATTTTGTAAAATTTTATAATATCATAATTACATTCGTAATTAAGGTATTCTTTTTTTTCTCAAAATATTGAGGACATTTATTTAATTTATCGTACTCCGTAAGGGTCGGGCCGGGTTTAAGGCATACTCGAACTCGAATCCGTTAATAATTACAGATCCCGAATTCAACTCGACCCGATCATTGTTCGACTCGGATTCGACTCGACACGATTATTGTTTAACCCGAACTCGACTCGAAATCTCAAGGATTGCTTTATGCTAGCTTAATGGACAGTGGTTTAATATATAGAAAAATAGATTTAAATACTTCCCGATTCGACGCTGCGCCTCGACACTGCATAAAAAATCAAGAAAAAAACGCGATTCGGCGCTGCCTACATTACTTTTTAAATTTATTTTTTAATATTTTCTTTTTATAAACAAAAAAAAATAATCCTTTATTTTTCAAGAAAGATAATTTTGAGAATTTCGACGGATTTCGATGGTTGAGTTGGCCACATTAGTTTTATTTTAATTTCATCTTATCAAAGTAATTTACATATTTTTATTTTTTAATTATTTCAAAAATTTTTCTTTTATACAGTGTACAGTTTATTTAATAAAGTATAAAAATAAGTTTGGAGTAATATGAAAATAAAACAACGAAAGCATTTATTCTAACAAAAACCATCCGATTTCGAAGAGGAATCTAAAGAAAAAAAGGGGCGCAAGATTTTTTTAAAAATCATCGATCGTTGCGCCTGAGTCACCCGCAGTGTCATTTAAAAAAAAAGCTGCAAATTTGAATTTGTTGGTTAAAACAATAAACTTCTACATATTAGGTTAAGCAAAACGTGACAAGCTTTTCAGCATTTTTTTTCGCTTATAAATATTTTAGATTAAAGCTGTAAATAAACAAGTGTTATATAAAGTTTATTTTATTTTTAAAATTTATTATTTTTTTTTTGTTAGAATTAATCCCAATTCTTTTTTTTTTTTTTTTACCATCTTTTTCCACCAGAATTTCAAGCAAATACAGGTGAATTGTATTAGCTTTAAGACCACATCTTTTGGTTGACATTAGATAGGTTACCCGCCAGAATCTACTGGAACACTTGTTGCTTTATAAAAAAATGTTTTAGTTAATGTTTAATAATCGATAATTTTTTTTTTTACCTGCCTGTAATTGTTCACTCCGCAATGCTTTTCGTTTTCTAGAAGAAATTGTACTATCAGTAACGTCGATAGGTCTACTTAATTATTTATTAAAGTCGCATAACGTAAAAAAAAAAGTCTAGCGCGGTCAATATTGTTTAATCAATCGCCTGATCATCCGGGTCACCCGGGTCGACTCGGGTCGAGCAAAACGTGACCCTGACCCGGCGGGTTTTTTGAATTAAGACTCCGACTCGAGAAATATTCGAGACGGGTCAAACAATCCGGGTCGACTCGATCGTTTCGGAGCACTAACTATTACTCTTGGACTAGACCTTTTCAAAAGCGAAGGTTGAAACATTTATTTAAAAGGCAGGACGGGAATACTTTACTTCTTATTTTTTTTGTTTTTGTTTCTAACTTTTTATTATTATCAAAATTTTTCGTTCTCTATTTAGTACGCCGATTTAATTATTCCTAGTACATTTTAAATATCTTTTATTGTTTTATATATCAAAGCCAAATTAAATAAATTTACAATTCAAAAATTTACTTTTCAAACAAAATTGTTTATGTAAACATTTTGTTAGTATTGATAATGTAAGAAAAAGCTTAAAAAAATGTAATTAATTATTCCATTATTCCCAACCATTTATCGATAATAGCGATATTCTTAAAAAAATTTAATCATACAGTATAAATCAAATAATAATTTCACGAAAATTACGTCATTTTTCATGCATTTCTCTTAATTACAAATTTAATACTAACCCAAGATTCATAATCTTTTTTGTTATTAATATCACCAAACATTTTTAATGCTTTAATTCTTAAAAAATAATTTCCATTAGGAGCCGGCATACCGAATTCTTCTTTATTATAAATAAGTCCATCCCATGAAACTCGTTCTATTTGAAGTTTTTTAGATTCAATTCCAGTAAAATTTTTAACCCATCCTAAAAGACTTTGTTTGTCATCAAGTATTTCGGTAATAATCATTTG